GGTTCGTAGCGCAGCGCGTTAACCGCTACACTACCGCTCTCCACAGCCACAATACGAAGACACACACACATAAACTCGGTTTAACACGTACGCTTTCGCGACCAATATTATCCACAAGAGAGGTTTTTGGATTAAATCGCGTAAATATAAATGTGTCGTTAAACCCGCCACCACCCGACACAGCCACTTAGTAAGATTTGTCACACAAACAAAACATGCCAATCAGTTACTAGTACAGCACACCGGTCTGTTGGAGAGTAAACCCACAACATTTACAATTCGAGTACGACGTTTCGCCAGTAATTACGACTAGCATCATCAGGCGGACAGCCAGATTTGTGGAGTCATCTTCCTGCTTCGGTCTAAACACACACATGAACTGTTCATGCCCCCTGCTGGTAACACGTGGACACCACATGGAACTAGCCATCATAAGACACATTTTATTTTTTCAAGGTGCAGCTCTTGAATCTCTTTGGCACGGCCGCTGCTGGCCGAAGAGCTTCCACTCAAGGAAGCTTCAAAGGGCCTCCCAAGATAATTTTGGTCGACTCTTCCACGCTGCCCAGATGTCAGAGTACCCACACTTTACCCCACCATGCACGACCTTCAGATTGGCTGTGGTGTCTTTCCGACAGACCTGTTTCTTCACCTGAGGACGGCTGCTTGCGTTGTGGCCGAAACGTCTTGAGAATTATTTTATTATGTTTATTTTTATTATTTTATTATTTCCCTTCTACGTGACTTTACCGAAAGAACCAAGAAGATCCATCAAGGTCTTTAAGATCTTCCGATCTTCAACTGCTCAGCACTCCCAGGGTTAGGTTGTGCTCTTTTGGTGATCGGGCTTTTGTTCCATAGCGTGGCACCCACAAGCTATGGAACGCCTTGCTACTTGAAATCAGGGCAATCAGAGTCGGTAGATACATAAGTCAGATTTGAAAACCCATCTCTTTAAAGTGGCCTTCCCTGTTTAGTTTGGTCGGTTGTCCCTAGTTCTGTTTCTGTTTCCTGCATTTCATGCATTGCGCATTGGGATCCTAGGATGGAAAGCACATTATACATTTGAATTATTATTATAAAGTGCGCAAGTGGTACTATGAAACGATTTCAAATATAAGGCACTTATCACGAGTAATATGGTGGTGGTATGGACCACTATCCGTCATTAACACGTGTAACTCAGAGCGAAGTAAAATTATGAAAAGTTTTGTGTAAACCAAACATCTTAAGCTTAACATCCAAAGGAAATGAGAGCTCTAGCATTTAAAAGACTGCAAACATCGGATATTAACACGGTACACTTTGTAGCTTTCTGACTTGATGTGCTTAAGAGTTGTACCGCATGTTGTTGCCTAACATCACGGGCGGTTCGATCTGAAAACAACATCGGGGAAGTTCAAACAACTTCTTTGGAATCAGTCACCTCCCGCCCACGCCACTCTCTTTACCTCTCTACCTTGTGACTCTCTAAGAGCCAGATCTCATCACGCTGTCGTCGTTAAAAAAAAAAACCCCACATCAGCAGCGTGAAAATACGTGGATGGTGTTAGCCCCGCAAATGAAGTTCCCGACACCAGAACAATCAAGAGGGGTCGATGTCACACGGTGCTTTAGACGACGGCTGTGACACTTAACAGGAAACGTTGGTCGACCGTGCACACAAAACACAAATAACGTCACAAGTTCTTTCCCATCATCTGCACAAGGGGCGCGTGGACTTTGTCCTGGTACATTACCGCCGGTGGAATTTGGAACGCAGCCTCAGCGGCGTTCCACCCTGGACATCTTTGGGTCCATTGCGAAATTTACCAAATTCCGTTGTGGGAATCCGTCTTGACCAACAACAAGAAGAACTGGCCACCTGCCATCAAGTGATGCAATTTTCTAGCGGCACTCATGTGGGACCCCACGAGAGATGATGATGATGATATTGGCGAGATGTTAACTACCTCGCCTAGTATACATGAGGTCGTGGGTTCCAACCCTACCCTGTTGTTTCTTTGGAGTTTGCATGTTCACCCGGTGGATTTTTCTCCGGGTTCTCCGATTTTCCCCTCCACATTTTAAATCAACATCACGCGTTTAGAGTATTTGGCAGCTATACATTTCCACGGGATAAGCCACACTTTGTTGAACTATGATTTGTGGCCAGGTAGCTTCTGAAAAAAATAGCTATTCAGCTCGATGGGCATTACCTGGTAAAATAAAAAAAGTTTAGTAGTTTATAGAACTCGATCAATGGGAATTATTTATCTTGATCCACTGAAACGCACACTGGCTTATGTGTACAATACAGAGTACACTTAATGGTACACTGGAAGAGTGCATTTTCAAATGCCTTTTTAACGTTATTTTCTTTTACTTAAGGCATTTAATTCGGCAAAAAAACGGATGCAGTAATCCGAGCCTCAAAACAGAAAAGTACCCAATCTTTGGTTCTTTCGGTAAAGTCACGTAGGTATAAAATAAAATAGATCACGACGTTTCGTGCGCAACACAAGCGTCCATCATCAGGTGGGAAAGCCTGCTACGTGACTTTACCGAAAGAACCAAAGAGTATGGATTCCTGCAGTCACGAAAGCTTCAAATCAAGATAGAAAAGTACATAAATCATAAAATCCATGCGTAAAGATGTTCCGACTGCCATTGAAGGAAGTTAACTAAATGCAAATGAAACATGAACGGTCATGCAAGTCGATAACAAGATTCAGAGACATTTGAAGATAATTTTGCGGAAATTGTACGATACATTTGGAGTGGCTTGTATATCAATAAAGATTAAGCACCTCCTCACACGTTTGCTGACATCGTCGTCTTTATAGCAACCTATGGGCCCATTAACTGCAGGAAGTGACTTTAGAAGTCACCGAGGCACCAAAGTTTGGCTAAAACGCACAGAGATGGAACAATTCCGCAAAGAGGTCACGCGCAAAAAATAAACTGAAAAACAACTTTTTGTGAGTCACGCCAGCGGGGAAAACGCCAGAGAATGTAGATTTAGGGCGATTATTACAGGTCTGAGGCTAAACATTACGAAAGAAAGGTTGGTGCTTTCAGGAAACTGAACTTACACATCAAATGGCAACACGCGTGTTGCGGAACGCTTTTAAAATGTGACCACTTTCAATTTCAAGTTCATTGATTAGGTATAGCCCTGTGAGCCATTCGGCTCTTGAATCGGGTGCAACCGCAACAAACAAAAAACTAAAACAAGAAAACATCTTAAAGTGAATATGTGACTAAGTGCAAACAGAAAATCCAGGAAAAGACAGCAAAATATTGCACAAAAAGCACCGCACACCAACGCTGTGCAAAAATCCCAGTGGGATGCAAGTCAAACAACAACAACCACAAGACAACTTAGATTAAGGCCATCAGTCTAACTCTGTACTACAACAAACAAACATGGCCAAACCCAAAAAACTTTTCGAAATCACCAAAATAAAGCCAAGAAAACAATGAAACGGTGATCATAGGAACTGACGGAATTTTCACAATAAACGACGTAGCGGCGATAACACGGACAGCCAACACGGACGACACAATCGATCAGTCGATCAATCGATCAGCCGATCAGTCCATCAATCGAACAGTCCATCAATCGATCAGTCCATCAGTCGATCAATCAACCTCGACGGCCGAGGCTACGACCCGGCAGCTCCTCCGACCCCCCCCCCCCAGATGATCACCGCGGGATCATTATCCCGGGCCCACATCTTGCGGCAGTGGTTATACTTCAACTCTACAGTGAGTGGTTATACTTGAACTCTAGAGTGAGTGGTTATACTTGAACTCTAGAGTGGTTATACTTGAACTCTAGAGTGAGTGGTTATACTTGAACTCTAGAGTGGTTATACTTGAACTCTAGAGTGAGTGGTTATACTTCAACTCTAGAGTGGTTATACTTGAACTCTAGAGTGAGTGGTTATACTTCAACTCTAGAGTGGTTATACTTCAACTCTAGAGTGGTTATACTTCAACTCTACAGTGGTTATACTTGAACTCTAGAGTGAGTGGTTATACTTCAACTCTAGAGTGGTTATACTTGAACTCTAGAGTGAGTGGTTATACTTCAACTCTAGAGTGGTTATACTTGAACTCTAGAGTGAGTGGTTATACTTGAACTCTAGAGTGGTTATACTTGAACTCTAGAGTGAGTGGTTATACTTCAACTCTAGAGTGGTTATACTTGAACTCTAGAGTGAGTGGTTATACTTCAACTCTAGAGTGGTTATACTTCAACTCTAGAGTGGTTATACTTCAACTCTACAGTGGTTATACTTGAACTCTAGAGTGAGTGGTTATACTTCAACTCTAGAGTGGTTATACTTGAACTCTAGAGTGAGTGGTTATACTTCAACTCTAGAGTGGTTATACTTGAACTCTAGAGTGAGTGGTTATACTTGAACTCTAGAGTGGTTATACTTGAACTCTAGAGTGAGTGGTTATACTTCAACTCTAGAGTGGTTATACTTGAACTCTAGAGTGAGTGGTTATACTTCAACTCTAGAGTGGTTATACTTCAACTCTAGAGTGGTTATACTTCAACTCTACAGTGAGTGGTTATACTTCAACTCTAGAGTGGTTATACTTCAACTCTACAGTGAGTGGTTATACTTGAACTCTAGAGTGAGTGGTTATACTTCAACTCTAGAGTGGTTATACTTCAACTCTACAGTGGTTATACTTGAACTCTAGAGTGAGTGGTTATACTTCAACTCTAGAGTGGTTATACTTGAACTCTAGAGTGAGTGGTTATACTTCAACTCTAGAGTGGTTATACTTCAACTCTACAGTGAGTGGTTATACTTCAACTCTACAGTGAGTGTTTATACTTCAACTCTACAGTGAGTGGTTATGATGCTGATGAAGATCGTCCGAGCCAGGCCAATGATGATGATGACGACGACGATGATGATGATGATGAAAAACTAAAAACGACCTCGCAAACCACGAGAACGTCCCGCGGGCGGTGGGGGGGGAGCACGTCCCAATACCTTCCCGATCCATGGCGCTCCCTCCCGGGGTAGACGGCGGAGGGGAGCGCGGTGGTGATGGTGGTGTCCGCGTGGGGAGATAGGAGGAGATGGAGGAGATGGAGCCCAGAGTGTTGGGGGCACGAGAAGCGAGCGCAGGAGATGAACGAGACGGGGGTAGGGGCAGTAGCAGCAGCAGCAGCTGGAGGCGCCGCTCTTCCTGTACCACCCAGTAAAACGCCTCCTCGAGTCCCTCTCTCTCCACTCCTCCTCCTCCTCCCCTCCTCCTCGTCTCGCCGCCTCCACTGCCGCTCCCCGCGGGGGACCCGGCACCCACGGGCAGCGTAACGCAGCGCGACCCGGCAAAGTCTCCCGCACCGACACCGCCGCCACTTGCCTACAGCCAACGTCAAGTCAGAGGGTTTACCTCTCATCCAGATCAGAGGGTTTACCTCTCATCCAGATCAGAGGGTTTACCTCTCATCCAGATCAGAGGGTTTACCTCTCATCCAGATCAGAGGGTTTACCTCTCATCCAGATCAGAGGGTTTACCTCTCATTCAGACCCAGAGGGTTTATACCTCTCATCCAGATCAGAGGGTTTACCTCTCATCCAGATCAGAGGGTTTACCTCTCATCCAGACCAGAGGGTTTGCCTCTCATCCAGATCAGAGGGTTTACCTCTCATCCAGATCAGAGGGTTTACCTCTCATCCAGATCAGAGGGTTTACCTCTCATCCAGATCAGAGGGTTTACCTCTCATCCAGATCAGAGGGTTTACCTCTCACCCAGATCAGAGGGTTTACCTCTCATCCAGATCAGAGGGGTTACCTCTCATCCAGATCAGAGGGGTTACCTCTCATCCAGATCAGAGGGTTTACCTCTCATCCAGACCAGAGGGTTTACCTCTCATCCAGACCAGAGGCTTTACCCCTCATCCAGACTAGAGGGTTTACCTCTCATCCAGACCAGAGGATTTACCTCTCATCCAGACCAGAGGCTTTACCACTCATCCAGATCAGAGGGTTTACCTCTCATCCAGACCAGAGGCTTTACCACTCATCCAGATCAGAGGGTTTACCTCTCATCCAGACCAGAGGCTTTACCACTCATCCAGATCAGAGGGTTTACCTCTCATCCAGATCAGAGGGTTTACCTCTCATTCAGACCCAGAGGGTTTATACCTCTCATCCAGATCAGAGGGTTTACCTCTCATCCAGATCAGAGGGTTTACCTCTCATCCAGACCAGAGGGTTTGCCTCTCATCCAGATCAGAGGGTTTACCTCTCATCCAGATCAGAGGGTTTACCTCTCATCCAGATCAGAGGGTTTACCTCTCATCCAGATCAGAGGGTTTACCTCTCATTCAGACCCAGAGGGTTTATACCTCTCATCCAGATCAGAGGGTTTACTTCTCATCCAGATCAGAGGGTTTACCTCTCATCCAGAGCAGAGGGTTTGCCTCTCATCCAGACCAGAGGGTTTACCTCTCATACAGAACAGAGGGTTTACCTCTCATCCAGACCAGAGGTTTACCTCTCATCCAGATCAGAGGGTTTACCTCTCATCCAGACCAGAGGGTTTGCCTCTCATCCAGAACAGAGGGTTTACCTCTCATCCAGATCAGAGGGTTTACCTCTCACCCAGATCAGAGGGTTTACCTCTCATCCAGATCAGAGGGGTTACCTCTCATCCAGATCAGAGGGTTTACCTCTCATCCAGATCAGAGGGTTTACCTCTCATCCAGATTAGAGGGTTTACCTCTCATCCAGACCAGAGGCTTTACCACTCATCCAGATCAGAGGGTTTACCTCTCATCCAGACCAGAGGCTTTACCACTCATCCAGATCAGAGGGTTTACCTCTCATCCAGATCAGAGGGTTTACCTCTCATCCAGACCAGAGGGTTTATACCTCTCATCCAGATCAGAGGGTTTACCTCTCATCCAGATCAGAGGGTTTACCTCTCACCCAGATCAGAGGGTTTACCTCTCATCCAGATCAGAGGGTTTACCTCTCACCCAGATCAGAGGGTTTACCTCTCATCCAGATCAGAGGGGTTACCTCTCATCCAGATCAGAGGGTTTACCTCTCATCCAGATCAGAGGGTTTACCTCTCACCCAGATCAGAGGGTTTACCTCTCATCCAGATCAGAGGGGTTACCTCTCATCCAGATCAGAGGGTTTACCTCTCATCCAGATCAGAGGGTTTACCTCTCATCCAGACCAGAGGCTTTACCCCTCATCCAGACTAGAGGGTTTACCTCTCATCCAGACCAGAGGATTTACCTCTCATCCAGACCAGAGGCTTTACCACTCATCCAGATCAGAGGGTTTACCTCTCATCCAGACCAGAGGCTTTACCACTCATCCAGATCAGAGGGTTTACCTCTCATCCAGACCAGAGGCTTTACCACTCATCCAGATCAGAGGGTTTACCTCTCATCCAGATCAGAGGGTTTACCTCTCATCCAGACCAGAGGGTGTATACCTCTCATCCAGATCAGAGGGTTTACCTCTCATCCAGATCAGAGGGTTTACCTCTCATCCAGATCAGAGGGTTTACCTCTCACCCAGATCAGAGGGTTTACCTCTCATCCAGATCAGAGGGTTTACCTCTCACCCAGATCAGAGGGTTTACCTCTCATCCAGATCAGAGGGTTTACCTCTCATCCAGATCAGAGGGTTTACCTCTCATCCAGATCAGAGGGTTTACCTCTCACCCAGATCAGAGGGTTTACCTCTCATCCAGATCAGAGGGTTTACCTCTCATCCAGATCAGAGGGTTTACCTCTCATCCAGATCAGAGGGTTTGCCTCTCATCCAGATCAGAGGGTTTACCTCTCATCCAGATCAGAGGGTTTACCTCTCATCCAGATCAGAGGGTTTACCTCTCATCCAGATCAGAGGGTTTACCTCTCACCCAGACCAGAGGGTTTACCTCTCATCCAGATCAGAGGGTTTACCTCTCACCCAGATCAGAGGTTTTGCCTCTCATCCAGATCAGAGGGTTTACCTCTCATCCAGATCAGAGGGTTTACCTCTCATCCAGATCAGAGGGTTTACTTCTCATCCAGATCAGAGGGTTTACCTCTCATCCAGAGCAGAGGGTTTGCCTCTCATCCAGACCAGAGGGTTTACCTCTCATACAGAACAGAGGGTTTACCTCTCATCCAGACCAGAGGTTTACCTCTCATCCAGATCAGAGGGTTTACCTCTCATCCAGACCAGAGGGTTTGCCTCTCATCCAGAACAGAGGGTTTACCTCTCATCCAGATCAGAGGGTTTACCTCTCACCCAGATCAGAGGGTTTACCTCTCATCCAGATCAGAGGGGTTACCTCTCATCCAGATCAGAGGGTTTACCTCTCATCCAGATCAGAGGGTTTACCTCTCATCCAGATTAGAGGGTTTACCTCTCATCCAGACCAGAGGCTTTACCACTCATCCAGATCAGAGGGTTTACCTCTCATCCAGACCAGAGGCTTTACCACTCATCCAGATCAGAGGGTTTACCTCTCATCCAGATCAGAGGGTTTACCTCTCATCCAGACCAGAGGGTTTATACCTCTCATCCAGATCAGAGGGTTTACCTCTCATCCAGATCAGAGGGTTTACCTCTCACCCAGATCAGAGGGTTTACCTCTCATCCAGATCAGAGGGTTTACCTCTCACCCAGATCAGAGGGTTTACCTCTCATCCAGATCAGAGGGTTTACCTCTCATCCAGATCAGAGGGTTTACCTCTCATCCAGATCAGAGGGTTTACCTCTCACCCAGATCAGAGGGTTTACCTCTCATCCAGATCAGAGGGGTTACCTCTCATCCAGATCAGAGGGTTTACCTCTCATCCAGATCAGAGGGTTTACCTCTCATCCAGACCAGAGGCTTTACCCCTCATCCAGACTAGAGGGTTTACCTCTCATCCAGACCAGAGGATTTACCTCTCATCCAGACCAGAGGCTTTACCACTCATCCAGATCAGAGGGTTTACCTCTCATCCAGACCAGAGGCTTTACCTCTCATCCAGATCAGAGGGTTTACCTCTCATCCAGACCAGAGGCTTTACCACTCATCCAGATCAGAGGGTTTACCTCTCATCCAGATCAGAGGGTTTACCTCTCATCCAGACCAGAGGGTGTATACCTCTCATCCAGATCAGAGGGTTTACCTCTCATCCAGATCAGAGGTTTACCTCTCATCCAGATCAGAGGGTTTACCTCTCACCCAGATCAGAGGGTTTACCTCTCATCCAGATCAGAGGGTTTACCTCTCACCCAGATCAGAGGGTTTACCTCTCATCCAGATCAGAGGGTTTACCTCTCATCCAGATCAGAGGGTTTACCTCTCATCCAGATCAGAGGGTTTACCTCTCACCCAGATCAGAGGGTTTACCTCTCATCCAGATCAGAGGGTTTACCTCTCATCCAGATCAGAGGGTTTACCTCTCATCCAGATCAGAGGGTTTGCCTCTCATCCAGATCAGAGGGTTTACCTCTCATCCAGATCAGAGGGTTTACCTCTCATCCAGATCAGAGGGTTTACCTATCATCCAGATCAGAGGGTTTACCTCTCACCCAGACCAGAGGGTTTACCTCTCATCCAGATCAGAGGGTTTACCTCTCACCCAGATCAGAGGGTTTGCCTCTCATCCAGATCAGAGGGTTTACCTCTCATCCAGATCAGAGGGTTTACCTCTCATCCAGATCAGAGGGTTTACCTCTCATCCAGATCAGAGGGTTTACCTCTCACCCAGATCAGAGGGTTTACCTCTCATCCAGATCAGAGGGTTTGCCTCTCATCCAGATCAGAGGGTTTACCTCTCACCCAGATCAGAGGGTTTACCTCTCATCCAGATCAGAGGGCTTGCCTCTCATCCAGATCAAAGGTTTTACCTCTCATCCAGATCAGAGACTTCACCACTCATCCAGATCAGAGGTTTTACCTCTCATCCAGACCAGAGGCGGTTAAATTTCCATTTAAAGCTTTCGTGACTGCAGGGATTCATCTTCTATTTTAGTTTTTTACGTGGTGGTTTGGCTGCTGCAGCTCCTTACTATTAAAAATTTCCTCCCTTTATTACTGCTAATCCTACTTCCTCCCTTTATTACTGCTAATCCTACATAATACACGAGCATAATATGACTTTGAGAGCTCCCCACCATCACCTACACATTCCACAAGTAGTGACTAATCCCATATCTGCATTTTCCATAAATATGCTAAATTCCTCTGTTGATATGTAAATTCCGTTGTCAAGGCGCCCTTCCTCCCCTAACCCAGCTTAAATATACGTTGCCAAGCTTGGTGGTGTTCATTCGGACGCTGTCTTTCCGACAGCCCTGTTCTTCACCTGAGGACGGCTGCTTGCGTTGTGGCCGAAACGTCGTGAGAATTGTATTTCATTATGTTTAATTTTTATTATTGTATTATTTCCCTTCTACGTGACTTTACCGAAAGAACCAAGAAGACCAGACCAGAGGCTTTACCTGTAATCTATTGTACTCCAGAGTTAATAATGGACATGCACCGTTATGCTACCAGAGATGAAGTTACAACAGTTGGGGTTGTTTTCGTTTTGTTTAGGGTTGATAATTCACGTTGCAAGAAACCCGGTACACAAATCTATCGTTTCTAGATTTGAAGCTTTCGTGACTGCAAGGATTCATACTCTTAGTTCTTTCGGTAAAGTCACGTAGGTAAAAAATGAAATTAAAATTAATAGAAATAAAATAATAAATCACGACGTTTCGGAGGCAACACAAGTCTCCGTCATCAGGTGGGACCGTCACAGCCAGATTTGCTGCATCAAGTGAGGCAGGGATTCAAGATGCAAGCTCTTAAATACAAGTTCAGGAGGAGGAGAGGGGGGAGGAGCTTATCAGAATGTGGTAGCCAATGAATGGAACGTATCGGGAGGGGGGGGGGGCTAAAAGAGGGGACGAGGTCCTCGTCGGCGTGTTTGTGCGCAAGTCATTGTAGATGCACGTGACTTTACCGAAAGAACTAAGAGTAAATCTATCAATCTTAATTTTGGAGCTTTCGTGACTGCAGGAATTATTCTTTGGTTCTTTCGGTAAAGTCACGTATAAAGATACAATAATAAATTAAATAATAGCATACTACGACGTTTCCATTGCAACACACGCAATCATCATCAGGTATAAAAGAAATAGCAACAAAAATCTAAGCAGAAAACTATAGACAGACATATAAGCAGACAGATATCACAAAGATACACAGAGAGAGAACACGTATTGGCACAAAGATCTATTGTTACCGTTTGCTTGACGTAACCGAGACGTGTCACAGCAGAGAAGGCTGCGGCTCAAGTTGGGCTCAGGCCAAACAACAACAAAAATAATCGCAAAAACAAACGTCACGTACAACAACAACAACCGAGCTAAAACTATTTCGAGACATTTTCATATATTCGACCACCGGCACGGGAACGTGGAATTTCCACCTTTTGGGTTTGGGCTACAAAGAGGAGATGGGCACCAATGTCTCAACGCGGCTAATTCGAGCAGGACGACATCGCTGGTTTGTTGATCGTTAGGATTTAAATCCGAGCTGATGTGCCGGCAGCAGCAGCACCACCACCATTACATGTGTCCATATCATTTAGATGATTTTGCTGATATATACACTTCTACGTGATAAGCCACTTTGTCGAGCTGTCATTTGTGGCCAGGTCGCTTCTGAAAAAGGAAGCTAATAGCTCAGTTGCGCTCCCATTGTGTTTGATTCGTATTGTTTGTTGTAGTAACGTTCTGACATGCCCCTACTGGACACCTGTAAAAAAAGAGCTTCATAGCTCATCGGATTCCTCCAGTATATAAATAAATATTCGGATTCTTTTAGATTTGAAGTTTTCGTGACTGCAAGGATCCATACTCTTTGATTCTTTCGGTAAAATCACGTAGGTGAAAATAAAATAAGATAAAAAATAAAATATAAATGAAAAACTCAATTAAATCACGACGTTTCGGGCGCAACACAAGCGTCCGTCATCAGCGAAAAAACCGTTGCTTTGACAAGGGTTTAAACCCTTGTTGATTTAAATTGTATTTATTTATTTTATTTATTTAGTTTTCACCTACGTGAATTTACCGAAAGAACCAAAGAATATTCTGATTCTGGGTCTTCCAAATCGTCCCCCTGGTCAATCCGAACAGGGCTACGTACTCCCTGGCTCACCACCAATATATCCATGCCCACGTGAAACTGACACAGAGAGTAAAAAGCGACTGAATCTCACTGGGGGGGGGGGGGGGGGTAAGCTGTACACACGTGGGGGGTAGCGTGTTTCTAACCGGCACAACGCGGGCATTAGACGGCGTTCCTCAGGTTGCACTCCAGTTTTAAATAAACATTTTAATTCCGATAATTACCTGCACCGCGCCGGGGCTTGGCACGCATGGAGCTAGAGAGAGGGGGGCATTTCCCTCCACCATCTGTCAACCGCCGCACGCACGCGCGTGTGCGCGTGTGTGTGTGTGCGTGTGTGCGCGTGTGTGTGCACGTGAGTGTGTGCGCGTGTGCGCGCGTGTGCGTGTGCGCGCGTGAGTGTGTGCGCGCCTGCGTGCGCGAGTGTGCGCGCGTGTGCGTGTGTGCGCGTGTGTGAGTGTGTGTGTGAGTGTGCGCGCGTGTGTGCGTGCGTGTGTGAGTGTGCGCGCGTGTGTGCGCGCGTGTGTGTGCGCGTGTGTGAGTGTGTGCGCGTGTGTGAGTGTGCGCGCGTGTGTGAGTGTGTGCGTGTGTGAGTGTGCGCGCGTGTGTGCGCGCGTGTGTGTGTGCGTTGGCACAGTAGGGGGCACTGGTGGGTGCATCAGCCAGTCATCTCAGTCATCTCAGTCAGTCGACCCGTTGGTACCTGCTGGGTCTGCCCCGTGACCTCCTGCCAACGGGCGTTCGACACTTCACGTGGTAGCCTCAAGGTGCACGTGGCCTGGCACGAGCGTCGTGGTGACGTCACCGCCACTTAGTGGCGAATGGCGGTTGTTGTTGTTGTTGTGTGTGCGTGCGCGCGCGTGACCCGGCGTCACGTGAGGCGTCGTAAACAAAGAGAGGCACGTGGCTCCGCCGACGTGGAAGCGAAACCGGCGTCGGCGAATCACGTGACCTTGTAGGGGTTGTGTTTGCTGAGTCGACGACTCTATAAAGTCTGCTGAGCTGACGAAAGCGAAGCGGACACATACGCGGGCACTTCCCCGTATCTGTACCTCTCCTCCACGTAAAGAACAAACATGAGAGTATTTTTTTTACACATCCCATCAGCCGCACGGCCTTCTAGGAATGTATAAAACAAAAATAAGCCCGCTTCTGAAAAATAAGCGAATGGCTCAGTGGGCTTTACCTGGTAAGATGAAAACAAATTGTAGAGTTTTATTTGTATAGATTTTTTTTGTAATTTGTTTACCTTTCCGCTACTTTGTACTCCTGTCGTGTTTTTGTATTGTTTGTTGTTGTAACGTTCTGGCCTGCCTCGACTGGACGTCTGCAAAAAAGAGCTTTATAGATCATCGGATTCCTCCAGTGTTAATACTTCTTATGATTCTGAACATCAGAAGTATTGATTCAACACAAGCAAAGGCGACTTACAATACAGGACAGCACTTACATTATCCACAATGACGCTCGTAAGGGACCGTCCAAAAATGACGTCACGCAATTTTCGACGATTTTTTACCCCCCCCCCCCCAAAAAAAAACATGCTTCAAATCGCTTTAAACTATTGTCATTGTAGTGCGTATTTAATGTGGCGCTGCACTCTGATGTAGGAGAAAACATTAAAAAGTCTATTTAATTAAGTAGAACGTGTTGTCTATATTTATTTAAAGTTGCGCATTTTGATGTGACGTCACATTTCTCAAACCTCTCCCCCCCCCCCTTGTCACACATCGTCACAAATGTCTGACCTTACCCCCCCCCCCCCCAGGTGCGTGACGTCATTTATGGACGGCCCCAAACGGCAACTGCGGTGTACAAACAGCGCACACGCCAGTTGAGCGGCAGTCTACACGGCCGTGTGTCGGCAGAATGCAGGAACTGGGGGGGGGGGGGGGGGGCAAAGGTCACGGAGGGGTCAATCGGGAAGCCTCTGGAACCTTCTGGTGAGTTCGAGAAAGGGGGGCAGGGGCCCAGGGCGGAGCAAGGCCTGGCTGGGTGGATCACAGGAAACGAGAGCGGTAGCTCAGGGAATGTTCGTGGCAATATAAATATATGAATGTCGTGTCGTTAAAACCCGCCACCACCCGACACAGCCAACTAGTGAGGGTTGTCACGTCAACAGAACGTGGCCAATTCGTCACGAGTACAGCAACACCGGTGTGTTGGAGAGCCAAGCCACAACATTTACAATCTGAGTACGACGTTTCGCCAGTAATTACAACTAGCTTCATCAGGCGACAGCCAGAATTGGCCACGCTCCGTTCACGTGACAACCCTTACTAGTTGGCTGTGTCGGGTGGTGGCGGGTTTTAACGACACATTTATATATTTACGCGATCTAACCCAAAAAAATACCTCTATTACGGATATTGGTCGCGAAAGTCTCAAGTCCTCAAGTTCAAGTTCATTTATTAGGTATAGCCCTGTGAGCCATTCGGCTCTTGAATCGGGCGCAACCGCAACAAACAAAAAACATGAACAAGAAAACATCTTAAAGTGACTATGTGACTATGTGCAAACAGAAAATCCAAGTAAAGACCGTCTACTTCGTGTTAAACTGTTCGTGGGAATCGGATCGTCTGGTGGTGGTCGTCGTCGTGCTGCGAGATAACGCGTCGGCTTCATACTCTTAGTTCTTTCGGTAAAGTCACGTTGGTAAAAAAATGAAATTAAAATTAATAAAAATAAAACAATAAAATCACGACGTTTCGGAGGCAACACAAGTCTCCGTCATCAGGTGGGACCGTCACAGCCAGATCTGATGCATCAAGTGATTTAATTTCATTTACGTGACTTTACCGAAAGAATTAAGAGTATGAATCCTTGCAGTCACGAAAGCTTCAAATCTAGAATGAACCCGTCGGCTGTCTTAAAGTTAGCGTCGTCGTCACTGCGAGACGGTCAGTGTTGAGTTGAAGCTCGCGAGTGACGAGTGCGTGTCGTCGAGATCGCGTGTGTCAATGACAGAAGGTGCCTCCACAATGATCGTCTCCGAAGTCGTGCACTGCAGTAGTTTAAAGCGAATGTTGGGGTGTGAGTCTTACAATCCTGTACGCGTGTGTGTGTGTGACCAGATTTGTGTAACTTCATTGATAGCGGCAACACGGTTGGGGTGCGTCTTATTTTCCGGAATGTCTTATAATTCGGAGGACTTGACTTTCAAGCTTGTTATACAGTATATATACAAACAAAGCGATGCAGTGAATCATAAGTGTTTTTACGCGAGCAAGACTAAATAAATGATAAATAAAATAACGAGAATAACGAAGCAGCGACGTCGTATCTAGAATGTGCAGACCCTCGTCTGTAGCTGAAAGCGATCATGATAATTCACCACTCCACTTCTAGCATCTACAGACGCTGAGCTAGAGTAGCTGCAGTGTAGAGCGTAGTAAATCAATAAATGCGTAGTAAATCAATTAATGCATTGCTACGCATTCTTTGGTTCTTTCGGTAAAGTCACGTAGATAAAAAAATAATAAGAAAAAATAAAGTGAATAAAAATAATTAAAATAAAATAATAAACAACTGTTTTTTGTCGTTGTTTATTATTATTTTTTTATATCTACGTGACTTTACCTAAATAACCCAAAAAATGTGAATTCCTGCAGTCACAAAAGTTTAAAGTCATTGCTGCACATCCAACAGTTCCATGAGCGTCATTCAAAACCGAGCGACCAGTCGGTTGCGCAACCCGGTCGCATGCAACTGCATCGCTTTCAAAAGTCAAGCAACCTTTCAAAGGTTACAGCAAAAGCTGAACAACGTGGCGAGTTTAAGTCGCTTTACGCGAGCATTTCTTGTCGTTCAACTTTCAACGAGCAACCCGACACGCGTCGAAGAATTATTTGCCGGCTGTTTCGCGTTTAATTTTAAGCAAGATATTGAAGTTTAACACGTAGCAGGCTTTCGCGACCAATGTTATTCATAATCAACGTTTTTGGGTTTAGATCGCGTTATTTATAAATGTGTCGTAACCCTCCACCACCCGACACGGCCAATCAGTAAAAAAGTGTCACGTTGACAAAAGACAAATAGTTCACAATTGTAAATGTTGTGGCTTCAACACACCGGTGGGCTAAAGCAGTGAACTATTTGTCTTTTGTCAACGTGACACTTTTTTACTGATAGGCCGTGTCGGGTGGTGGAGGGTTACGACACATTTATAAATAACGCGATCTAAACCCAAAAACGTTGATTATGAACAAGATATTGAAGTTGTCACGCATGTTGTTGTTTTTTTCCGTAAACTAAACGTACAATGAGCCGTCGGTTACCTGTGTCTGGACACACGCCACGAATCCCGTGCCGTGCACGTGGGGTTGGCGTGTCACGGAGAGACGGCACCAGCATGTACGTCACGTGTCGTGGCATCGCACAGAGTTGAAGCTGCTCGCCCCACAGAGCCGCACTGACTCCGCTCAAACAATCCCACGCTTTTATCATGAACATGCATTTACATCGGACACGATTGCCACGCCGACGTTTCAGGCAATGCCCCCCTTATTCAGAGCAAAACTCTGGTGAGTTATTTAAAAAAAAAATTTTAGAATGATAAAAACCCAAAGCTACGTCTATCGTTCGCTTCAAACGATCAAATCATCAGCAGTTGGTTGTCCAAAGCAAGGCAGCCAGCGAAGGTCCCCCTCGAGTGAGTCGCTTGTTGTGGCCACCCCGCGTTCAAGTCGGCGCATTTCCTTCTGCGTGAGCGGCTTACTTTGTTCCCTCAAAAGTTGGTGAGGCTGCAGAGCCAAGGGCTCTGAGTCGAAGCAACGTGAACAGCGCGAGCTGTGTTCGGGGGGTGAACAAGGCCAGCGATTTACGCGCAGTCTCCAGCGTTATTTAATTGACCCTGCGCAAACACGCACACACACACACACGCACACACGCTCGCACGCGCACACACACACGCGCATACACACACGCACACACGCACACACACACACGCACACACGCACGCACACACACACACGCGCACACACGCACACACAGGCACACACACACACGCGCACGCACACGCGCGCACACGCTCGCACGCGCACACACACACGCGCACACACGCACACGCGCACACACACGCGCGCACGCACGCTCGCACACACACGCACGCACGCACACACGCACACACACGCGCTCACACACACGCACGCACACACGCACGCGCACACACGCACGCACACGCGCACACACACGCGCACACACGCGCGCACACACACGCGCTCACACACACGCACGCACACACACGCACACACACGCACACACACGCGCACACACACGCGCGCACACACACACGCGCACACACGCACGCACACACACGCACGCACACGCACACACGCACACAC